GTGGCATAACTTGTCCATTCACTGTAAAGCTTATGTGTCAGTTGGAATTTACCTTATTCTTCATTTTGAAGATTGTAATTACTTTTTTACTAACTCTAGTCTTAAATCACCTCTGTTTCTTACCATCGTTCCTCAAGACTACCAACAGTGGTTTGGTCACAGACGTCATCTAGGAATTCTGAGATAGGTATGTAGTCCAAAAGGGCTATGAGACGTAGCTGTGTGTTTTCTGTAAAATCCCCCTCTTTTGGGGCCTCAGCTGCATAACATTTCTTCTTAAACTTTTCAAATGGAAGATCAGAAGCTTTCATAGAACAAAGAGAAGCAAAAAAAGGTAGTGGAGCTTACAAGTGAAAGGCCAGACTTTTTTGTTGTCCTTAGCATTTTTGTCAATCCACTACTTAGGTGAATGGAAGAATGAAGAGTAGGTAGAGAGGAAAATAGAGGATGCAAGAGGCTATAGACAATCTAGAAATAGACTACACCCTGATATATAATTGGCAGGTAATTTGTAAATAGCCACTTTTGGAAAATGGCTCGTTTGCATTTGGTGCTTTTTCCTGGATTTTCATATATATTATTGATTTTTTTTTAACAGAAAGGAAGAGAGAGAGATAGTTAGAAACATCAATGAGAGAGAAACATCCATCAGCTGCCTCCTGCACAACCTCACTAGGTATATATGCCTGTAACAGAGGTACATGCTCTTGACCAGAATCAAACCTGGGACCCTTCAGTCCGCAGGCCGATGCTCTATCCACTGAGCCAAACCGGTTAGGGTATCCCTTTCTTTAAACCGTGGTAACCATGTACTTACTAAAGCTCTATGGGTCGGAAAGTGATAGAAAACCCATCTCCAAAAGGACAAATTACTGAAAAGATCAGGGATAAGACAGACTTTAGGCATTGATTTTCCAAAGGCCCAAGTGAACCAGCCCTGATAGGCACATTTCTGCCCTTTCATCCTCTGTAGCTCCTCCTCTTGCAGGGGACTTCACTTCTCAGATTTAACTTCAGTAAGAAAAAACTAGTCTTCCCTCCAGTCACAGCAGAGCTCTCATTGCCACCTAATGGCCCTGTAATCACATCCTCATTCCTGACCCAGGGGATGTCTGAATATGAGGGCGGACTACATTGAGAGTTGGGAAGGGCAGATCTCAAAACAAGAATTTGAGCTATTGCTGAAAAATGGACGAGTGGGGTAATGCTGAGCTGGCAAATAACTACTTATAATGTCTATTAAATACTGATTTTATTATATAAATGGGCACATTCAGCATTATTTAACTGGTGGTTGTTTTTTTTTTGGGGGGGGGGCGGGGGGTGTTTGACCAACAGAAACTTTCATTTCAACCAAATAAAAGTGAAGACTTAAAGTGGAGATAGTATAGTGGAAGGGGCATACATAGCTTTTGAGGTATAAATAGAGATTCAGAGTCTAGCTCTATCAAGAATTAGCTCTATTATGTTGAAAATTTTATCCTTATTGTTGAGAAAGTTAAAGGCGCCCAAAAATAACATTCTTTTCTCTTGCTTGAATTCTGTCAAGAGAAAAGATGAAGATTGACATATTGGAATAAAAAGATTAGTTTTATTACTGACAATAACTGAAATGAAGGACTTGGTTTTTGTGTGACAACAGTGAGGCTCTAATATTGAACCCAGATCTAAACAGTTAGTTATTCATCCCCAGCCCAGGCACTTGAACAATAGGTTTTTTAATCTCCCCTTAATAACTAAGACCAGAATGCTTGAGTCCTGCAGACATCCGGCTCCCAAAAGGAGGCTGAGAGATAAAGAGGTTACATATGTCTGGTTGCACTCTGAAAATCTCCAATCGGAAAGTTCATATTACCTCAGTGGTAATTGGTGGAGTCCCAGGCCAGAAAATGTTGAGGAAATTTCCTCTTTGTCAAAACCAGAGGAGTGATTACATATATGCCCTCAACACACAGATTTACGAATCTTATTATTTTATCTCTAAATAATTTTAATGTAGGGTTGGTGTGATGTTCAGTTGCAAACAAATTTTGGGTGTAAAAACTCAGGAAGATTACCAAACAACCACCCTCACCAGTTTTTGAAATTGGGTTATTATAATAATTGATGTGTGTGTAGGAGGAAACCCATTTTGCCCAGGAGACGAGTAAAATTGGTAATAATTGGCCAAGGATAAGGGCTTATGAAATGGGAGGAAGCAGCCAATGAAAGAAAATGTCTTACAGAATCCATAACTATCATATGCTTGCAAATTAAACTCAAGACAGGCAAAGTGTTTCATCAGCCATCCTCATCCAGCTGGTACAAATTCAAAGTTTTTAGCCCAATCTCCAATCCAGCGGTTTTCACAGTTTGCTTCCTAGACTAATAGTGTCTGTATCACCTGAGAATTTGTTAGAAAAGCAAATTATGGAGCATGTTCTAATCCTTCTGAAACTAAAACTGTGGAGGTGTGGGGCCCAGCGATGTGTATTTGATAAGCTCTCTAGGTGACTTTGATGGATACTGAACTATGAAATACCATGATTTGCAAATATCCCCATAGCAACAGATGAAGATTAATTGCATTTGCCAGAATATTTTTTAGTTCCTAATGAGACATGTATTTAACGGGTTGTGAGGTTGAATAGGTTAAAATAGAGCTTAGGCTTGAATGCCAAATAGGTATGAGCAATAGGACTGTATTTTCATCCAATGGGTTGATGTCTATTTAAAAAACAAAATGTAGCAGCAGAATGCAAAAAGGAATTGGACGTAGAAGATATTAGAAGGAGAGAGAACCTGAGGAATAGTGATTATAATTTGTGTAGAGGGACAGAAGAGGCTTTTCAAAGGAAGGGTTAACCCAACTCAGTGACTGAATCTGGAGTGGATGAAATCAAATATGATTTAAAATCTCATCCCTAGGTAATTAGGATAATGGTGATTGAGGGAAGAACTTGAAAATGTGTGAATAAGCCGGGACCGGTTTGGCTCAATGGATAGAGCGTCGGCTTGGGGACTGAGGGTCCCGGGTTCGATTCCGGTCAAGGGCATGTACCTTGGTTGCGGGCATATCCCCAGTAGGGGGTGTGCAAGAGGCAGCTGATCGATGATTCTCTCTCATTAATGTTTCTAACTCTCTATCTCTCTCCCTTCCTCTCTGTATAAAATCAATAAAATATATTTAAAAAAAAAAGAAAAAAAAGAAAATGTGTGAATAAAATGAAACCATTATTGGACATGTTAATTTTTAAGTGATTGTTTAAAGAACATAGAGAGAGAAGGGTTGAAACCTCATTTTTAAGTTGTATAGAATAAGAGGAGAACTTGAAGGTGTTTTGAAGACAATTAATACATCCATTCTGTTGTCAAAGGTTTACTGAATGTCTGCCATGTGCCTGGCACAGTTCTAGGTTCTCAGGATAAAGTAACAGATAAACCCTACCTTCAGAACTAAGACTTATTATGGAAGAAGAAGTCAAAACAAAATAAAAAACAACTACAACAATAAATGAAACAAGATAATACTAAGGGCCAACAAAGAAAGTAACAGTAAAGAATGACTAAGGAATTGAGTCTTTCTTTAGATGCTTGGCCAAAGGAAGACTGGAGGTAGTTACATGTGACAAAAATCCTGGTAGGAGACAATTTCAGGAAGCCAAAAGATGGTGGTGTCACAGATTGGCCAAGGAGGAATTGCAGGAAAGCATTTTAGAGGGTTTGTCATGCTTTTTGCCCTTTCAGGGCAAATGATTGGAGTGTGAGGTGTATATGGCCTATATAAAATAGTTGGAGAGAGAGGTCTGTGTATTGATAAGAAAATGGACTTAGAGATATCCCAGTTCATCAATTTTCAGGCATTTGTTAGCTGTGCAGAAATTCCTCTTTCTTTGAAGCTCACTCTTCTTAAAAGAGTAATGAGTAATAAAACCTGGTAGGATTAAATTGTGATGATTAAAATGAGAGTGAATTTAAAACAACTAGCAATTGTGCTTTGAATGTATTACTTAGTGATAACTGATAATAACAGTGTTACTTAATGAAACAGCATTCAGTCACGTGAAATGCAGTTGTGTTTAGTCATGTGATACACAGTTTTATTTAGAAGTTATACTTTGATCTTTTAGCATGCAAAGTATTTTAAAGGCATAACATTACAGCTAAAAATAATTTTATCCTAATAGATAAAAAGCCAAGGGCTGTCATGACCAAAACAATCAGATAACTGAACAGCAGGCTGCGTGGGGTGACCAGGCTGGCAGGAAGGATAGTGAGGGATGACCAAATGACTGAACATCAGGCTGCATGGGGTGACCAGGCTGGCAGAGGGGGGCAGTTAGGGTGACCAGGCCAGCGGGAGGTGGGGGGTAGGCAGTGAGGGATGACCAAACAACCAAACAGCAGACTTTGTGGGGCAACCAGACTGGTGGGAGGGACAGTGAGGGGTTATCAGGCCAGTGGGGGGAGGGGGAGAGGGAGGAGGAGAGTTAGAGGTGACCATGACAGCAGAGGGGGGCAGTTGGGGGCCATCAGGCTGGCAGGAGGAGCAGTGAGGTGCTACCAGGCAGGCAGGCAGGTGAGTGGTTAGGAGCCAGTGGTCCAGGATTGTGAGAGCTGATATCTCCCAGTGGGTCCCGGATTGGAGAGGGTGCAGGCTGGGCTGAGGGGGGGCTCCCCTGCACAAATTTCGTGCACCAGGCCTCTAGTAATTAAATGATAGACTGATTAACTTACCTGATGATATTTGCTTACATGCATAATATTCTGAGATGTATTTTAGTAACTTGTATTTTCTTCTTACAGATGTGTATATCTCATGATTGATGTGAAGAAACTAGTCATGGGCCAAAGGTCAAGATACTTCTCTGGGAAATGCTGATGCTGCTTTACAAAGTCATACAATGAGTGTTTGGTTTAAGAACGATTTTCATATTTAAAAGATTTTCATCTTGGAAATATATCAAGTGAAAATTAGAATCTTTTGGGAAACATTTTCCTTCTAAAAAATTATACTTGTAATGGGCGACATGGCAAACAACTCTGTTTTATATAGTGGAGTTAAAAACTCTTTGAAGGAAGCTAATCATGATGGAGACTTCGGAATTACGCTCGCAGAACTGCGAGTTCTCATGGATCTCAGGTCTACTGATGCTTTACGAAAAATACAGGAAAGCTATGGAGATGTCTATGGAATTTGCACCAGGTTGAAAACATCTCCCAATGAAGGTGAGTTTTATTGCATTTGATTTTAGTTTTTTGTGTGGAGAGTACTGTATATTCGGCTCATAAATGAACATGTTTATATTGTCTTGGCTATTTGTAATAATTATACCATAATTTCAGTGACATTAAAGGTAGGCTTACTGTTAGATTGGTACATTTAAATCAAGAAATAATGTTGTAAATTACTTAATATGTTTTTGGCTGACTGGAGAAAATATTTTGTACTGTTGTACATACTATTGCTGCTTGTGTTTGACAGCTAGATTGTCTTTTTCCTTGAGCTAATGGTATGGAACCAGGCTCGGTAAACCCTCAGGGCATTCAGTGGAAATAAGCCCTGCTCACGATTCTCGTTGTGCCAGATGACTTAAAGTAGTTGTCACTGCTAATACCTGACTGAGTTTGTTTTTAACCTAAACTTGAATAATTAATTCAGATGGTACTAAAGCAATTGGAGAGTACATGGTAATTTTTGATAGGACAGGCATTTCCTTTGATTAAAAATAGTATTTTTCAGTCTTGGAAATATGTTTCATTTCCCTGTGCTTACAGAAGCCTTTGGTTTCATTAATTTTGATTTGTAGTAAGTTTCTTTATGGACATCAAGAAAGGAAAAATAATTATGACTTCTTTACATTATGGTCTTTGAAATGGTTTGAGGAGGATGGCTTTCTGTACATTAATCATGTTGAACATACAATTGATGTCAGGTAGTTTCAAGTTGTGAAAGAAGGGGGAGAATACATGAAGATGAATGTTTGGTGGTGACTATATTTTAGTAAGGATGGGAAATTATTAGTGCTTAAACTTAAAGTGTATTAGTATATATTTTATTGCAAAGCCAATTCTAGAGAAATTATGCAGAAGTCTTTTTCTTAATTTTTTTCCTAAAACATTTCATGCCATGCTACTACTTGTGATAAAATAAAATTAATAGCCTAAAGTTATTTCTAAAATTGTTAACGAATTTTAAATAATATTAAAATTATTTTTTTAATGTTTATATAAATTTATGTGAGTTGCTCACTGTTTCAATGGTGGGTAGTTACTTTGATTTCTCTGAGGAAGCATAATCTTGAGAAGATAGTATCAGTATTCACATATATCCTAAAAGGACTTTCTGCATCACTTGGAGTATATTTTTTTTTTCTCCAAGACCAGTTAACTTTCAGATTTTCTCCTCAAGACAGAACCACTAGAAACATGGACTCTTCGTAGTTATTTCTTCAATTTACTGTAGCATCCCAAGTAGCTGGGATCCTTGTTGTTGATATAAATTCAGAGTATCAGGAACAGACCCAAAGTAATTAACATAATAATTTGACAAAATTTGGAATTCATTATGCAAACCTATATTGAAATGTTAGCTAACTTTAGATTACCTTAGAGATTTGCACATTAATACACTGTTATCATTCATTAAGTAAACCATATATACTTTTATTACGTTTAGTCTACAACCTAATTGATGGATGTTTCATGATCACCAAATTAATAGGAGGCATTAACAGTTTTAAAAAGCCCTATATATGCTCATAAAAATTATAATCGAAAATCGGTTTCAAATCTGTATTTAACTGCTTTTCCCCAAGCATGTCTGTATTCCTCTGCTATTATTAAAATCTTACCTTCTAATAAGTAACTACTCTTCCAAAATGTGTACTCATTTTTATAGACATGATTTTCATTAATTTGCACTGGAGTTTCTTTTGTGTTATTATTTTTGGCAGTGCTCCTTACATCGATTTTGATGTAATTAGTGAAGTTTATTAACTGAAAATGTTATAAATTTAGGGAGGGGGTCGTTTAGTACCCATGTGACAACATTTTGGAAGCTGCAAATAATCTCTAGGATATTGCCGCTTAACCCTCAAAATTTCGTGTTCATTGCTGTTGCTTTATGCTCTTAAATAAATATGTGCAATATTTTTCTTTCATTCTTAGAAAATTCTTGCTCATCTTTCTAGTATTGTGAATTTAATTTTTGTTAAATTTTTGTGAACTGTTGTCTTCACTATTTATATATAGTTTGTCCATTTTAAATATTATTTAGAGAATGTGAAAAAGGCCATTTTATGCATTACATTTGTATTTACATTTGTAAGAATTAGAACAGTAGCAGTCTTGACAAGAGTATCATTTCCAAAGTAATAGTTTTAATTTAATTTGGAAACATTTCAATCAGAAAGCTAATGAACATTTCATCACTGATCAACTAAGCAAATGATAATAAATGAATCATCAGGGATAATCTGCTAGAAGTTTTATCTGTCCAAGAAAATAGTCTAGATGCTAGTACTAGAAAAAATTAAAACAATTTCTTGAAGTACATGAATTTTGATTAGGTAAAGCTAAACTTTTAGTTCTTTCATTCATTAATTTGTTTCTGGAACACTCTTTCATCAAATTTAAGTTGTTAATTGTCATATTTTATATATCTCTAAAAAAATTTAGTGTTGGCAGTTTTAATTGTAAGATAACTTAAGAGTATAATTAAACTACATCCTAATTACAGAAGTGTTAGTAAATTGTAAGAATATGTCCATCTCAGAATTGCTGGAATATGGTTTTTCTCAGGTATGTTATGTGGCAGGTCCTTTTTTTTTAAGGCTCTGAGCACACATTCATTAATGTAACAAAAATTCCCATCTTATTTTTGCATGGGGGAGACAAAATCACAAGACAAGTGAAATGTGCAGTGCTATAGTGATATATACTTTAGAGAAAAATGAGTGGAGAAGCAAAATCAAAGTTGAGGTTGTCAATATCAAATTGCTAGAAAATCTGGAAGAGCAACTTAAGACATTTCTTAAAAACCACAACAAAAATGACAAATAGGACATAACACTTTTTGTGCCAGATTGGTTGTTAGCACTTATATTAACTCATGTTTTCAGCCAAAGAACCCACACCACAAAAAAGTTACATGCCTTTATCTAAAGTCTTACATTTTATAAGCCCAGAGAAGGGATTCAAACTACAGAGAGCACGCTTTTATCTATTTTGCTGTACTTCCTGTTATAAAAGTTCAGCTCATACACCTTACGGAAGAGTTAAGAATATTGAGAAAGAGGTACCTGTGTTCTTTCCTCTCAACAAGTATCTTCTTTTTCTTTTTAAATATTATTTTATTTATTTCAAAAAGAGGACAGGAGAAATAGAAACATCAACGATGAGAGAGAATCATTAATCAGCTGCCTCCTGCACGCCCCCTGCTAGGGATCAAGCCCACAACCCAGGCATGTGCCCTAACCAGGAATCGAACCTTTACCTCCTGATTCATGGGTTGATGTTCAACTGAGCTAAACTGGCCCGGCTCAGCAAGTACTTTCTGACAGCAGGAACTTCATAATGGGGGGGAGGAAGGAGGGGATTGATTTAAGTTTCTGTTTATCAATCAATCTTTAAAATACATTTGCGCTATTCAGAAAGTTGTATTTGTGTGCTCCTTCATTTGGCATGCTATCTGTTGCTCATTTTCTAGGAGTGTAGTCCTTTAGCTTGATTTGAAGCCTACTGACTGCATCCTGAACAATAGGAAGTGTTTTGAGCCAGATGTGATTTTTAAATTAAAAACTTCCCAGTGGTTTTGATTAGCCATCTTTACTCTTTAAAGAATTAGAACTATAAATTTCAAGGTTCACAGGAATTAAGACTTATATCTTCATATTTTTAGTTTTTTCTATGAGAGTAAACACCTATTTTGTCCTCAGAATTCCAAGGGTGTACTTTTATGCCAAAATAACTTGCTAATGACATCCTAAATGCATGAAGTTACCATTATAGTTTTTGTTTTCTCTATTGTTTTCCAACATTTCTTTCTTATTCCTATTCTAAATCATTTTTAAAAAATATATTTTATTGATTTTTTACAGAGAGGAAGGGAGGGAGAGAGAGAGCTAGAAATGTCGATGAGAGAGAAATATCGACCGGCTGCCTCTTGCACACCTTCCACCGGGGATGTGCCCACAAGCAATGTACATGCCCTTGACCGGAATCGAACCTGGGACCTTTCAGTCCGCAGACCGACGCTCTACCACTGAGCCAAACCGGTTTCGGCTAAATCATTTCTTTTTAAAAATATATATTTTATTGATTTTTTTTTACAGAGAGGAAGGGAGAGGGATAGAGAGTCAGAAACATTGATGAGAGAGAAACATTGATCAGCTGCCTCCTGCACACCTCCTACTGGGGATGTGCCCACCGCCAAGGTGACATGCCTTTGACCAGAATCGAACCTGGGACCTTTCAGTCCGCAGACCAACGCTCTATCCATTGAGCCAAACTGGTTTTGGCTAAATCATATTTCTTGATCCTTTTAATTTTACACTAGCTTTTGGTATCTTTTCCATTTTAATGTGTTCCTATTACCCATATTATATTTTATATTGAATGATAGACTAGACTCTCAAATAATAAGATTTCTAGAATGCATATCTCTGGCCCTGGTTTCATTTAGTACTGCAGTAAACAAAGAGTAAAAATGAATTTATAAAAAAGACAGGCACTGAGTGGAATTCTGTAGGAAGTATGGCTTCATCAATTTGTGAAGAGCAATAAAGCAATTGAGACACTAAGCTTTTAAAATGGTAGCTGCTAAAATTAGGTAGAAGAGGGAAAAAACAAAAGAAATAAGAAAAGGAACAGTGATATAAAGAAACAGGTATGTGGTAGGAAGCAGAGTAGTGTCAACAGCAATTGTCCCTTGCTGACTAATGCGTCCATAAGGTTTCAAATGGTAGTTTATATTTGCTCTCATAGAAGAAGTTAGGTTGTTAGTTTTGATGTTTGACCACATCTTCATGTTGTAATACTATAAATCTAACATTCACACATGAAAATCTATTGTAACTCAAAAAAATCATCCCTTTGCCCAGAATAAGTCATTATTGACCTATTGGATGCTACAAGAATGCTCTGATGTCCGTACTTGGTTATACAGATTGGCACAGCCTTGCAGGCATTCAGCAAGTATTTACATGGCTCTGGTATGTCAGCCATGG